GTGGTTGTGACTGGGTCTTGCTGGTGTGTTTGGTGGTGTGAGACAGGTCTACTGTACAAAATCAGAGACACAAGCCCAAGGGTTGGGCCATCCCATTTTGTAGAGTAGGGAAGGTGGCCGGTGGTGACCAAGCCTAGGCAGGGGGCTGAAAGGGCAAAGGTGGAGGGTGGAGAGGTATCTTTGATAGGCAGGATGTGGTGGAACTTGGTGGTTGTGACATGTTGTGAGTGGGTCTTGCTTGTGTGTCTGCTTGTGTGGGACAGGCCTACTGTACAAACAAGGGTTGGGCCCCCCATTTTGTAGAGCAGGGAAGGTGGCCAGTGGTGACCAAGCCTAGGCAGGGGGCTGAAAGGGCAAAGGTGAGATATCTTTGATAGGCAGGATGTGGTGGATGTAACTGGGTCTGGCTGGTGCACCTGCTGGTGTGGGACAGGCCTGCTGTACAAAATCAGAGACACAAGCCCAAGGGTTGGGCCACCCCATTTTGTAGAGTAGGGAAGGCGGCCAGTGATGACCAAGACTAGGCAGGTGTGGTGGAACTTGGTGGATGTGACTGGGTCTTGCTGGTGTGCTTGCTTGTGTGGGACAGGCCTGCTGTACAACATCAGAGACACAAGCCCAAAGGGGGTGGCCACCCCATTTTGTAGAGTAGGGGAGGTGGCCAGTGGATCTTGGTGGTTGTGACTGTGTCTTGCTGGTGTGTCTGCTTGTGTGGGACAGGCCTACCGTACAAAATCAGACACACAAGCCCAGGGTTGGGCCACCCTATTTTGTAGAGTAGGGACGGTGGCCGGTGGTGACCAAGCCTAGGGAGGGGGCTGAAAGGGCAAAGGTGGAGGGGGAGAGGTATCTTTGATAGGCAGGATGTGCACCTGCTGGTGTGGGACCGGCCTGCTGTACAAAATCAAAGGCCCCTCCATTTCGTAGAGTAGGGAAGGTTGCCATGGGTGCAGAATGGTGCAGATGACATGTCCTGAAGGATCCTTCAGAGATATATATATATATACAATTAGATATATATACAAATAATATATATATATATATATAATTTAATTGTTTTATTTAATGTATAATAAGTCAATAAGTGTATACAGAAGATTTAGAAGATTGACCCTGCATTCCGGGTACTTGGCGGAATCAGCCAGCCAGCCACATATCAAAGTACCCGGCGGAATCAGCCAGCCAGCTAGCTAAAAAGTATCCGGCGGAATCAGCCAGCCAGCCAACTATCAAAGTATCCGGCGGAATCAGCCAAGCAAAGTATCCGCCGGAATCAGCCAGCCAGCCACCAAAAGTACCCGGCGGCTGGCGGAATCAGCCACCAAAAGTACCCGGCGGCTGGCGGAATCAGCCACCTAAAGTATCCGGCGGAATCAGTCAGCCAGCCACCTGTCAAAGTATCCAGCGGAATCAGCCAGCCAGCCAGCAACTTCTCAAAGTATCCGGCGGAGTCAGCCAGCCAGCCAGCAAAGTATCTGGCGGAATCAGCCAGCCAGCCACCAAAAGTACCCGGCGGCTGGCGGAATCAGCCACCTAAAGTATCCAGCGGACTTAGCCGGTAGGCAGCCAGCAGAAGTATCCGGCGGAATCAGCCAGCCAGCCACCTATCAAAGTATAGCCATTAAGCCTAGGCTTCGTGGGGAGTACAGCCATTTGACAGGCGTCCAAAAGCGCGTCAGAAAAACAGTCTTGACATGTCTTGACTATTCTTGACTTTTGTTGATGATTTTCATGCGCATTCATCTTCACTACCAAATGAGTAGGCCCCGCGCCCCATTTTGTAGCAATCAGTGACCTTGGCCCCCTCCATTTTGTATAATTGGCCTATCCCCTCCCTACAAAATGAGTCCGTTTTTTGGGAGTCATTTTGTAGGGATGGGACGTTGGTCGCTGACATTTTGTAGTGATTTTTACTACCAAATAGGGACCCCGACCCCTCACCCTAAATATCAACGGGGATTGCAGAAGGCTATGCCAATGTGATAGCACACAGACACACACTGTGACGAGAGGCAATTAGGACAGAATCAGACGATGCCACCGTGGGAAGTAAAGCAGGGTTTTCGGACTTGATATGCTTCTTGAAATGCAAAGCGTGGCACTTGAAGCAGCATAAGCTGAGTATATACAGTACAGTATATTCATGTTCATTTGAGTTGCAGTAGCTTGTGTTTTGCCTGGTTTGTTTTACTGTAGTCCATCCACTCCGAAGCAGTATATAATCCTTTGTCGTCATTAACCTTCTTTTTGAAGATCCATCAGAAGGATCCATGATTGTTTTGTTTGTAGGCTTTGAGTCAGCAGTGCTTGGTGTCCAGCGATTCTGTGTTATATGTTCGTCAAGCTCGTCACTTTTACTTCCCAGTGCCATTCATGGCCGTGAGAGACCCGAAATTGATGGGCCTCGCACCTGGCATGTTTTTTGGCGGTATCCGCGCCAAAAATGTTGCGAGGTAAGGAGAGTGACTCGCTCGTGCAAGCATGCCATAACCCTGCATACAGTCCAAACTCTTTCGAGCTAGTTTGCCTTGACGTTCACTTGCCGACTTGCATGCAGCCAAAGGCATGTACTAATAGATACTAGTACTGTAATTAGTGTGGGTGCATATGCCACAAGTGGGTTTGACACACATGCCAAAGGAGATAGCGACTGCAAGGCTGTCAAGCTTATCAGAGCACCTCCATGATCAGAAGCTATAATACAAATAAGCATCACTCGTACGGGCAACAATTGTGACCCGTCATGCTCGCCTGCTAGCCCGCTAAAGCCTGCGGAGTGCTTCTGGCTTCAATGGCATTTATGCTTTGTACCCAATGCTGATGGAGCAAGGTGACCAAGTGCATAAGCGTGGCTTAGGATATGGTTGTTGAACCGGCATGTGATTGACAAGCATACATATGATTACAAAACTACAAGCAGAACATTGATGTTTGCTGAGCGTACAAACTGCTATGCCGCTGTTGGTGCGAAGGACTTTGCAAACTTCAGCTGCTGCTAAATGAACTTCAAAGCGAGCTCTCAAGAGAGCAATTGAATCCATCGACCGAAGAGGTTTGATGAGCTTGGTGTTTCACCGCCGCTGGAGTTGTGTAGTTGTGTGGAGGCTGTCAAATGAATGTACATATTGGATCATATAGTCACATTGAGTATTTGCTGTGCTTGCTGGGAAAATGGGCCGCGTATTTTGCTTGCCTGGCTGGTTTGCCCTGTCGGTCATCCAAATAGTTGGGGAAATTGAACTGGCCAGGCCACAGCCCAACCTGACAATTTGGAGTGGTCAAACCAGCGAGCTGCAGAACAGTTGGAGGAGGCTAACAGCGGCCACATCTTGCATTTACAGCAAAAACTGCGAATGTTGAATTCCGAACCTGTTTGCAGTGTTTTTTTACTTCGGCATGGAATAGTATTGGATGTATATGGATGTATGGAATTCTTCAGGGTCCCCGGACGTCACCAGAGGACATATACAAAGCCTCATGACTCATGATTCATGCCAGTGCTGCTGTGTGGTTTGCTGAGAAGTTTCTGATTCTGGTCGTGATCACGCGCATCTTGGTGCCAGCTGGGCAGGGGGAGGGTGGTTATCCTCAACACAAGAAATTCGATCAACAATTTAAGTAACGCATGTAATTACTAACTTGCCAGATTCGAAATGCACAGTTCACGTTAAATGCCTGGTTTGTGCATGCACAGTTTGTCCAGGTTAAAGCTGAGATTACAAGGGCAAAGGCTGAACTCGAAAATGACCAGGCACGAATTTCTGGGATTCTACAGCAGTTTCACTTGAGTGATGCTGGACGCTATAAGAAGATTGACAGCCGTTGCCGTGAGCTCTTTACAGGGTTCAAGTTCTATTCCGTTGCCAATCTTGCGCGCAATGCTGTGTTGGGTGCTAGCTGCCCTCTTGGTGCAGAAAGCAACTTGGTCTATTTTGGTTTGCTGCTTTTATTTTAACATCGTGCGATGGCAAGTCTACTAAATGGATATGCGGCATGCATACACGGGGCTGGCAACTCTCCAATAACGTGCCTAAGCTTTGGTATGCCTACACCTACACCGCTCTATCTTCCAAGCGCTTTTCGTCACTGGGGGGTCAGTTGACAGGAGGGTGATTCAAGTGCCCCCACACACTTGATGGATTTTGCTCGTCCCCAAGTGTCCTGAGGGATGCTACAAGCAACCAAGGCCGCAGCAGGTTGCAGTGATGACAACACCTGTTCAAGCTCCGGAGCGTTTCTTGGTATTAATCGTGCTGGATTTCCCTTCACTCATGATGACGCCAATCATCCTGCAAAGTGCTTCCATCATCTTCCATCTTGAACCAAGCTTTGGCAGATCCTTGTGACTTTAGGCTGTGGCTCCAGCTGAAAGGTTCCAGAAGCTTCAACAAGGGACACCCGGCTTCCAGGAACGCATTTTGCACGTTCCACGGCAAAAGATTAAACATGATGAGGAGTGGCAGAACCGGATTTCTTCCCAGTCCATGGTGGTGTTGGCCGATCATGCCGAGGGCTGCTTGCAGGATTTCAGCAGATTATATTGGCTTTGGCAAAGTTTGTTTTTTTTGACGCGACCTGCGACCAGCACCTGCCAGCCAAGTTCCGTGACGCTTCCCAGCGTGGGAAGAAGAGTAAGGTCACATGCGGATGACAACTTGGCTGGCCATTACATTTCAACTGCTGAGCCTTGGTTGAGTTTCAGTACAAATTTGGACACCTGCCCCCTGCCCCAAGTACTTATTGACATCACTGCCTATGTGATTGGAGCTGCTCAACCTTCCAGGCAACATCAATGGAGGACTGCAAACAGCTTTGCTTGTCCAATTCTGCCTGTAAGGCCGGACTTTGTACGCAACATGGCAAGCGTTGAAGCAGTAGGGGAAAGGGTGCCATGTCATGTCAGGGAATCGAGTTCAATCGTATGCGCTGCTGAGTTGCATTTGAGTCTGGGGGTGATCGGCTTGCCGCTGTTGAACAAAAAATCCTCCATTCTAACCATGGCACAGTTTGCCAAGCATACCTACTGTAGGTTTTTTGTGCTTCTTGCATCAGATCGATTCTTGCTCGAGAAGGCCCCAACTTGCCCTGATCACACGTGGCTAAGGTTGCAAAGTGTGGACGCGACGGGAGGGTATTCAGGCCAGCCACCCTCTTGCAGGTCTGCACCTCAGCTAAGACCTGGACTCTCAGAACTCAGAGGTAGACCGGTTTGTTTCTCCTGGCCCACTGGGATCGACTGGGTGTGTGCTGCCCAACCTCGTCCAACCTGAAACGAGACACGACAAGACTATGACTGGTTTTCGGACACTGCCAATTTGCCATGGTGTGCCGTACTAGCTTGGAGGGACTTGGAGGGGCTCAAAGCACACGGCACTAGCGTTGGCTGTCCCCAAAGGATAGAAAATACAGGTCGAAGTCAGATGGGCGAAGGAGCCTAGCTATGGCTACAGAACAAGTGAGAATTCAACCAGGGTTGGAGTTGTTTGACGCGACTCGTCTTCGGCAAGATCAGCAGGGATGTCTGATTCGTTTGTTTTCTGAAATGAAGCACCTTCATCCGGATGATGTGATTCTTGTGTTGGTACAATTGCAAAGTCAGCTGCGCCGTGCTGTGACAGGATCAACTTGTTTGCGACTGCTGCAAGAAGCTTGGCCTGCTGGAAACTGTGAGATTTTGCGTTTCTAAATGTTTCTAATAATTACGAAGTCCGGGGCTTGTGAAGTCCGGGGCTTGTGACTGATGTTCAAATGCAGAAAGTTTTGAGTCAATCCACGATATCCACGTCGTCACGTCGGCTTTTGGAATTGTAGAACGTGGGAAGGATGCATCCGCGATGAACAACTTCAGAGAAGTAAATGGAGGTCGAGGTAAGGGATGTCGCGGATCACACCCGGGTGACAAGGAGGACTTCCTGGAGTGTGCGTTGTTTAATGAGGAGTTGCTGTTCTATATCATTGTTGCACCATATTGGCACCCATGCATGATGCTTAGGCCCCAAGCAAGGGTGGCACACTTTGATGGCAGGAGTCCTACTTCAAGTCGACCACCGCAACCACACTGGATGAATGCAAATCCATTTGCGTGCAAGATGCTGATTGCCAGGCAACTGTCCACCCTGCTTCTACTCCCCCTTCAAAGGTATGATTGTTTGAGCATGCTTGAGCTGTGCTGTTGTGTTTGCCAATCCGGCGCATTAGAATTCTTGGTTTCTTTAACTTGAGCAGTTCAGGGCGTCTCCTACAAAAGTCGTGGCCTTTGCGAAGTTTGGGTGCGCTCAGCAGGACTGCAGTGAAGCAACCAGGTTTTGACACATAGCTCTTGGAGACTGCACACGAGAAAGCAGCATGGTGAATCGTCAATTGAAGGAAGGTAGGGTCAAGTGTTGTTCTGCATGACTAGCAGAAACAAAATCAAATGAGCGCCCCTTGCAGCAAAAATGATACAAACATGCTATACGACCAGCATGATTCAGCATGACAAGATGCATAGACCGCATAGACTGGAGGTGAAAGAGCTCACACAGGGTGTCCAGCTCGGATCACCAGCTCGAGAGTGTTCTACCATGTGACCAGATGTTGCTACTTATTTGTTGCCCCTGGCCCCTGCCTGTGAGAAACATCATCACACCATCACACAGCTTCAGGCCCTGGCACTGAAACCTGACCCCGTGTTCCGGACAAGTGTTTGCTGGAAAGTGAAGAGTTTGGCCTGAAAGGCCGAAGGGCACACAGTGGAGAGCCGAGAAGAAAGTAGGAAAATATAGCAAATACAGAACCAAACAAAACAATCCGCCTTTAAGGCGCCTAAAGAATCGAAAAAAGAGGACATAAGGCGAGAGTGAGAGGAGGATCAAGCAAGAGAAGGGAGAACGCATCCAAAACGTAGAGAGCCGTAGTGCATCACTGCTCACAGAAGGATAGGCGTAGTACCGGGTGCATGTAGGAAGAACAATAGCGAGACGGCGATAACTGTATGAGGCGTGGCTGCGTGGAACAGAGGCAGTCACATTGCAACCGCAGAGAGAAACCTCAAGAGATGAGAACTTGAGAAGTTTGCTCGTGGAAGTTTGTACAACATGGCAGCCACACTAGGCCACTATATAGATCTATATATATAGGCACTATATATTGTGCTCAATTCGCTTCATGTTGCAGGCTTTGATTGTTTGGACGGGAAGGCAATCATTGCAAATTGCTTGAAGGAATTGAGGCAACCGAAGACGAAGAAGACTCCGTGTGCTTGGAGGTGCAGTGTCGGAACCAGCTATTATCCTCACCTGTGAGCTGTAATAATGATAATAGCATATATATAATTTATATAATAACAATAGAGAGCGGGGGGTGAGGGGGGGGGATGTGAAAGTTTTGATTTTTAATTTAATATTATTGTTCATCAACTTCTTCAAAAACATCCCATAAACTAAGTTATATTTCTTGTTGAAAAATATGTGTCCTTCATATACTTCAACAATGTAAAGTGTATAATTACTCATTGTTTCAATATTTTCACCCTCATAAGGCATCCAAATATCAAACTCTGAAAAAAACGGTATAAACTTTATGTGTATTAAGGCATCAGTAAAGGCCTTGTTCAAATCTGCTTCCATCAATTTTTTCTTTGTCACATCCTGATTAAAATACCCCAGTGGTACTATGGTTCTCATCTCATCCAGTATCTGAACATCCAACTCTGAATATTTAGACTTTTGTGTTTCCTTGAAAAGTGCCTTGTTGAATTTGAACATCTCTTCAGTCATTCTGTTGAACTCATCTGATGTATTCACCAGTGTTTGACTGTGAAGGGTTTGTCTTGAAAGTTCCTGACTTACAATGTTGTAAGTAATTGTTTTCTTCAACTTCTTGTATCTAAATTTTACTTTGATATTTGTAATACATCTGGCATCATATTTCACATAAGGCTCATATTTTGCTGACTTGAGTTGATACAATACCTTGGGCAAATCATTATAAACCTCTATGAAGTTATACTCTTCCTCTTCTGTCATTTGTAGTAGTTCATCTATATGTTCAAATGATTGATATTTAACCGGTTCTTCTTTATCACTGATGTAAAAATTTTGACTGGCATTTAATTCACATGTGTCAGGTGAAGTAATATGAGACAAACTGTCCAGTTTATAATTCATTGTGTAGATATGGTTGTTCTTCACCAAGCCCATAAATGTCCTTACTCTATGTTTGCTTCTTCTCTTTGGGTCATATCTGTAAATGAGTTCGGTATTGAAATTGTATAGTCTGACTGGGATGTTAAAATTTTCAAATACAACTTCCATGTGATTAATAGATGCCCCTTTTTCTACAAATTCTTCATCACTCATATTCAGTAGCTCCAGCACTTTTTCTCTTGTCAAGGTTTTAGCATGTTTTCTTCTACCATCCTTCATTAGTTCAGTTCCCTCATATGTATCTACAAGTGAGTTTATCCAACACTCATCCTTTTTATATTTGATGTTCTCTATGGCATCCTTGACTGTTTGATATTCTCCATCTATGACTGTTTCAATGTATTTATGAAAGATTGCCTGATTGCGCAATCCATCCCTCAATCTCTCCTCTTTGATGTTCATATCACTTGCTCCAGTATCACTTACATCAACTATTTTTTCAATCCTAATGGCATCAGTATAATCAGCAATTGCTCCATTCATCATATCTTTAAAATTGCGGTCTGTGTTCATAATCATAAATATTTTATTGAATAAATGTTTATCAAACTCTTTTGTAATCTTTCTCCCAACCAGTCCTTCCAAAATTTTATTACCTCTAACATTTCCTGTGCTTACAGCTGGTGTGGTGAAAGCATAGTCTCGAAAAAACAAAAAAACACAAAACACAAAACTGCAGACCACATGTCCACAGAGTCAGACAAGAGCCCCAATGGGGTCTGCAGTTTTTGTTTTTTTGTTTTTTCGAGGTTTTTGCATGGTTTGCTCCAGATGGCCAGAACCTCGGAAAAAAAAACAAAGAAAACAATACTGCAGACCACATGTCCACAGAGTCAGACAAGAGCCCCAATGGGGTCTGCAGTTTGTTGTTTTTGTTTTTTTTGATTTTCGAGGTTTTTGCATGGTTTGCTCCAGATGGCCAGAACCTCGAAAAACCCAAAAAAACAAAAAAAAACAAAACTGCAGACCACATGTCCACAGAGTCAGACAAGAGCCCCAATGCGGTCTGCAGTTTTGTTTTTGTTTTTTGTTGTTTTTCGAGGTTTTTGCATGGTTTGCTCCAGATGGCCAGAAAATCGAAAACAAAAAAATCAAAACTGCAGACCACATGTCCACAGAGTCAAACAAGAGCCCCAATGGGGTCTGCAGTTTTTTTTGTTTTTTTGTTTTTCTAGGTTTTTGCATGGTTTGCTCCAGATGGCCAAAACCTCGAAAAACAAAACAAAAAAACTGCAGACAACATGTCCACAGAGTCAGACAAGAGCCCCAATGGGGTCTGCAGGTTTTTTTTGTTTTTTCGAGGTTTTTGCATGGTTTGCTCCAGATGGACAGCAGCAAGAGAGATTGCTTGTTTATACTGTAATTTTCAGCATTTCAGCAGCAGATAGGAGGCTTTGAAGTAGAGAGTGCAAAAACGCGCGTTTCTACAATATGCATACTCTCCCCCCCTCACCCCCCCTTCTGTAACAATAATACTGCTTGTGTCACTTTGCAGTGCCATTCATGTCAATATTGTATAATATTGTATATATTTTGTGTAGTCTTCGTGTTCCTCACAGGTGCCCGGACCCACTACGACGACGGGCCCTGGACCCACGACAACCGCTCCGGTTACAGACAGATGGGAGAAGCACGAAGGCCTCAACTGCCCCTTGACTTGGATTGCGGAAATTAGACAAGACTTGAAGGGGTTGCTTTTGGAGGAGAACGATTGAGTGATCCCAAAAGGGCTTAGGAACGGCCTCCGATTCCTCAGGTGTTGATGCCTTCCCCATTCCGCTGCGTAGTTGGAACATGACCTTTAGCGGTAGCACCCCCTGTCGAGTTCTTACGCTTTGTTGATTTTTTGTGTCACATGGGACACGTATGCTCATGGCTCCCTTCCTTTTCCATGCTTTTCTCATGTGCCCTCCGCTAGGTGGAATTAATCGAGGGGGGGCTCTACTCAAATTAATTTTGCTCAATTACTGTAATAAATTGTCCTCCGAGAATCCAAGAATGTCGTAGACATTTATGCTTGGAGAAGATGTTGGATAATTGGAATTTTCCCCAACATTCCCCGGCTGTGCCTTGGATCAAGCTAGGGAAAGGTCCGTGGGAAAATAATCAAGAGGTACTAGAGATGCTGCAGACCCCTCAATTAATAATCAAGATGAGCTAGGCCATCAGGGGCCATCAACTAGAATTGATCGCACATATCTTCCCGTAGAGTTGCAGAATCACAAAGAACACAAAAGGAATCTCACTTGGTGGTTTTGAATGTGGTGGCTACTTTTCTGCCTGGTTTTTGCAAGTGGATCTAGTGTTCCAGGGTGT